CTGACTTTCCCTTTGTTGATTGTTCTGTGTTGATACTACACCACAGGGCGGTTTTTAGTCCGCTCTAGATCATCTCATTATTAAGCGTTTTGACTTGAAATCCAACCATAGCTTGCACTGAAAATCTTCAAGGAAAAGGGGTCCTTCTTCTTCGAATATTAGTGAAATTGACGGAAAAGTAATGCTAAAATAGCCAAGAATTAAATTGTAGAATTATTAAACGCTGTCCACAGCTGTTTATTTCAACCATCTAGGACTGAAAATCCGTGAAAAGAAAGTCCAAATCGATCTCAGATTCAACGTAGCAGAGACCATCTGTAGTTCAAGATGAGTACCTCTGATCATGGATAAATGCTTTGTCGAAACACTTCGAAAATGGTTTCTACCCCAGCACAGAACGATCGACGATAGAATGTTTAGATCGTGTCGCCTTGAAGCAAACTGGCAAAGCACTATGGGTGTTACAAAGATGACACAGGCAGCCCAGTATAACCTTGGAGACTTATTGTTGCCAAGTGCACTAGTAAGGGAAAAGGTAGTTTTTTCACAAAGAAGAGAGACAAATTCAAACGATTTAAGTATTAATAGTAACTACGGTCGTAAAAATTTTCCAATTCGTCCGAATTACAATTCTAGCGCACGTGCTAGGCTGACATAAAAATTGTCGAAGTTTTTCTCTGCGGTGAACCCGCCTTTTCCCCCGGAGTAGTCGATCAACGGGGCTTCATCTGTCCCATGTGAATATTACACCTAGAAGCAGAATGGTCAATAAAGATTTATCAGCGGTAACTGAAATCTTAATTTTTAAAATTATGAATGGCTTAAGAAAGTGCTACCTTCCTTAGGGAATTCTGTTTTATAAAGACTTCTCGTTACCCAAGCGCGTAATGTAATCAGCCTTCAGGAATGAATAAACATGTTTTACTTGTGCTTATAATAAGGGTCCAGTTCAAGACATCACGAATAACAAAAAGATATTCAGATAGCCGGCAGAATACACAAAAACTGTTAGAAGTTTCTTGGAAGTTTTCAGTAACCTAGCAGCATGAAGGATCTTTATGTTTCTTCACGAACTCCTGCAGTTATAACGCACCATAGCGACTGAAGTCATCTGAAGCTTAAACAAGTTGGGTAAGAGGACTAAGAGAGTTCACCGGCCGGAAAATCTATTCTGATCAGAACATATGGGTGATAAATATGGATGATTCACATAACTAAAATTAACTTATCAATCCAAAGTAATCGTAACGACATTGTAGTTTCGTTCTTTCGATCTCTCGAGAATCTCTAGCATACTCTTGAATGCTGAGTATGGAAAACTCTGAAAGACTTGAAACAGATGAGGAAGCTACGGGATTTGTTCATCGAAGGGGCTCGTTGCGAGACTCTGAATCCTTCGATCACAAGGAAGATATTGAAAACCGGCCTTTTGAGAAAATCAGAGAGCTTCGTTTTAAAATCAGTGAAAACATGAATAACAATTCTCTGAGACAAGTTGGGCGTAATGACGACGCTTTTCTGTTGATGTTCCTAAGAGCTCGACAGTACCTTGTGGACGAATCATTCAAACTTCTGTCCAATTACATTGAATTCCGCCAAAACAACGTTTCTTTGATGGAAAATCTATCAGCATGGGAGTTGAACCACGTGTTAGAAGACGGCCTTCCATGTGTTTTGCCATACACTGATCAAAATGGCGCTAAACTTATTGTTTTCTTCGCCGGCAATTGGGATAAAGATACTTACGGCACACTAGAGATTTTGAAGGCATTCATTTTAACCATGGAACGCTTGATTGACACAGACGAGGCGCAGCTCAATGGAATCGTAATAATTGCAGATTTTTCAGGCTGGAGTGCTACTCACACGTCCAATTTGACCGTTTCTTTTATTCGTCAAGTTTTCGCCATGTTCCAGGTATGTCAACTGAAATGAAGTCTTAAGCAAATGAATAAAGGGGGCAATTTTCTAAAGAAATTTTGTTGCTGCGTCGGTGGGGGGGAAGAGGTGGTATTTTGGAATTGTTTGGTTTTATCATTGTGATGTAAATTGACCGTCGTTAAGAGTTTACAAAGCTGAAGTTTAGAGCGTTAGTCCTTCGTTAGAGTGAATTGGGACAAATTGGCAGATGCCGTGACAGCTTTAGCTCAGCTCCATGTTTTGTTTCTTTAATAAAAAACGCGCCGAGTGCATTGTTGAATTATATATGAACGCGGGAATTTTTAAGAACACGAGA